TTGGGCTTTTCCGACCTAGTTGTTGGAAAATTCGTAGAAAAATCATCGTAAGTCCAAAATTTGGATCCGTAAATTCTGGAAGTTTGGAAATTTTGTCTACTTTGTTCACAATTTTTCTCATAATTTTTAATGGCTTCTAACAAGTGTGAAATTGCTCACCTTCACAGACTGGTCCGAAATTATTTCAAATCTGATAGGCAGTTTTGTAAAATTTGCCAAAAATTGTAGAAAAATCGTATGAAACGTGAGAGTAGTCATTTTAAAGGTATAAACCTGAACTTTTTGCATGTAAAACAGTTTTGAAAAATATTATCATTTAGGTGGTCAAAACAGTTCGATATTGGGCCAAAACTTTCCTGTGAAAGGCTGATTTTTGAGTTTAGTTTATAGATCTTGGAACACAACACTCATTTTTACTAAATTAAGTGTATAAATCCCAGATCTACTAGTTTACATGTATTATATGTGATAACACATACTTTTCTCAAGGTTTTCATGTAGATCCAAGTGATAAACTTCATTTTCTTAACATATTCTTAGGTTTATGAAGTAAACAACACATAATCACCAAATGGTTCAAGAAAACACACATAATCATGCATATACACATAGATCTACACATAAGACTTGTATTCTCCCCCCAAAAAACAAGTAAAAACCGAAAACAAGGGGGTATGAACTCACCTTGGGGGTTTTTGAGATGTAGATGAAGAAGAAGAAGAAGAAGCTTGAGTCTAGCTTGTGTTCTTGGTGAAACTTTTGAAATGATGGTTGTTCAAGAGATGGAAACTTGAAGAAAAATCCTCTTGATAACTCATACAAATTCACGATTTTTAGATGAAGAGATGAGAGGAAATTTGAAGTTTTGAGAGGAAAGAAGAAGTGTTTGAAGTCTTGGAAATGTGAAGTGTGTATGTGTGTATGTATATGGCCGAGAGGTAGAGAAGAGGGGGAAAGAGGGTAGGGGTTGACCCAGGTGAGTGATGTAAGATGCATGGTTGTTTGTGGGACAAAAGCTTTGTTATTTGGTGTGCTATATTGATGTGGCATCTCTTATTACACAAGCCATTTTCCCTCTTTTTTTGTATTTTGGGCCGAGAATGGACAAATGGAATGAAGAAAAATGGTTTTGGGCTCAAATCCTTGGCTTGGTCGAATTCTATAGGCCCAATATTATTTTTTGGCCCATTGGGCTCTTAAGGTGGTTCACGGCCCAAGATGGTACAAAGGAATGGGTTTGTGGTCCATTAAGGCTAATTAATTCATTTATGGCCCAACAAGGCCTGTTTGTAATATCTCGAATTTCAGAAGTATGATTTAAGGGTTTAAAGTGTAATTTCGAAGAAGGGACTCGACGAGTAGGTATGCTTACTCGCCGAGTCAGAGCGGGTTTTGGGTCGCGAATTAAGTGACCAGCTCGCCAAGTCGGAAGCTGGACTCGACGAGTTGGTGTTAGAATGAGAAAAACCCTAATCTCGAGGGTTGCACCCTATTTAAAGGACTTTATGTCCTTCTCTCAGCCTCCTTATTGCCATTGAGAACCAGAAAACCCTAAGCTCGTGTGTGTGAGGCCTTTGGAGTGAGATTGAAGCTTTGGAAGTTGTTTCTAGTGGAAGAAGCTTGAAGATCAAAAGGGCTTGCATCAAAAGAGTGGTGTAGATCCCGAATCTATGTCAGTTTGGGCACATCTTGGAGGTAATAAGTTGTTACCTTCACTCTTTTGCATCTAGATCTATTCATGGATGAGATTTGGGGCCATTTTGGTATGTTTGAGATCTATTTCGGGTTTGGAGTTCAGATCTGAAGTTGCTACTCCAGATCTAGACTTGTGTTGGTCTAGAATGTCATAAAGCATCAGTCAATGAGTTGTTGGTGAAGCCCCTTTGTCTTAAATCCTATCCCTAGAGTGATTTGGACCTTTAACACCTTGGTTTCACGTAAAGTTTGCAACTTTACGTGAGAATCGTGCCCTAGAAGAGTGGATCTACAGTTTGGAGCCCCTGCATGGCTCAAAAAGCCTCTGTATGAATGAAGGACTGAAGAGACTCGGCGAGTTCCTTGGGTGGACTCGGCGAGTCATATGAAGATAGGCATGAACTCGACGAGTTGGAAGAACAACTCGACGAGTCTGTTGAAGATTGCCTTGGACTCGGCGAGTCTGTTCTTGGACTCGGCGAGTCAGGTCGCAGAACCCCAATCTCTTTTGGTTAAAGCTTCGGATCAGTGAGTCGGTTGACGACTCAGTGAGTTGGACAGGATGGAATTCAGAGATCATTGGACTCGACGAGTCTTGGGGTGACTCGGCGAGTTGAGTTGTGCTATGAGAGTTTTCTGAGTTTGAGAACTCGGCGAGTAGAGTCAATCAGGAAGGTTGACTTTGGCCAGGACTTTGACTTTGACTTTTTTGACCTTCAGGGGTGTTATGGTAATTTTGGATATTTATGTCAATGGATCATTGATGGCTATAGGTGTTGGAGTTTGGGGCAGTGCTTCAGGATTGTGCTTTCGTGGTTCGGTTCAACAGTTGCAAGGTAAGTTATCCTCACTATACTAAGGGGTCTAAGACACCAAGGTCGGCCCATTGGATTCGATATCTTAGTAGTTACTGATATGTTGAGTTGAGTTAGTAATGTATGCCAGTTGTTATGCTAGTTTGGTAGGTCGGTGGGACTACCTGTGATACTGATTGATTACTTGTATGTGCATTTATCTGTTACATGTCGACATGTTATGTGGGATGGGTTGAGGTGGTACTGCTCCGTGCGGTAGCCAACATACCCTAGAGTATTCCGGATATGAGCTGAGGGCCCGGTAGGCATTCCAGACTCATACTGAGGACTCGGGAGCATTCCAGATACAAGCTGAGGGCCCGGTAGGCATTCCAGACTCGTACTGAGGGCTCGATGGCATTCCAGATACGAGCTGAGGGCCCGGTAGGCATTCCAGACTCATACTGAGGGCCCATGGGTAGTCCAGCTTGTAAAGTTGTCGACCATTACACGCTGTTTCAGTTTGTTATGATATGTTTATTGGGACTGTATGTGTATCGGTATTTTGGGGGTAACTCACTAAGCTTTCGGGCTTACAGTTTAAGTTTATTGTTTCAGGTACTTCAGGGGATCGTGGCAAGGCAAAGACGTGATCGTATAGCTCCTCACCTTTTATGACTTGTTTCTGGGATACTCTGATATGATACATTTTGAAAACAAGTTTGTAATAGTAATGGATTTGAAATGTTTTTAAAAGTTTAAATTGGCTTGAATTTTTAGGGTGTTACACCGTTAGAGATAACTAGTCCATTTTAGGTCCGCTAAGGGTAAAATGAACCATTTTAGGCCCATATGGCCCAAAAGGTTGAGTTTTATGAGTGTGGGTCCATTTAGAATCCAATTAGGGTATTTAGGCCCAAAATAGTTCAAGTTGAAGGTTTATTGGTCCATTAGGCCCAATAAGAGAATTCTAGTACATAGTGAACTTGAACCGGGATGTCTAGGGTTTTCAACTCATAGATGAACATATGAGATGTATTGTATTAGGTTTTGACCTTCATTCAAGAGTTTGGATCCAAATGGATGACGTTGATTGAACATAGGGTATGGTATTCACTTAGAGTATAAGCCTTACAATAGATGATGTTTTCATGAGAATAGAATTCCCTAGCTAAAATTGCTAGTTGTGACATTAATGACTGGATTAGGAACATCAGGATGGTCACTCGTTATGAGGACAAAGAATATGTCCTCGATAAGGAGCTTAAGGAAATCGATGAGTCGTCTGCTACTCCTGAGGAGATCGCTGAGTTTAGGACTCATGAGAAGGATGCCACTAAGGTGTCTAGTATCATGTTGGTCACCATGACAAATATATATATATATATATATATATATGTATATGTGCATTGCATTATGTGATTATGCGCTGTGTATTTTGGGAAACTCACTAAGCATATGCTTACAATTTTGTTGGGTGTTTCAGGTACTTCGGGTTCTAAGGGCAAGGGTCCGGATTGATGGCGTAACAGACACTCTCCAGTATTTCCGCACTTACAGTTTGGATACTCTGATATTTTGAACAATGTGTTTATGTAATGGAATTTTGGAAAAACATATGTGGTTGAGATTTCTAATTATTAAATGAAAAATTTTATCTGAATTTTTGGGTTGTTACATACATGAACTTAGAGGTGATTTACTAAAGAAAAGAAAAGAAAGGCCAACTAAGAATCTAAACTACAATTTTGATAGAAATAGGGAAACAAGCAAAGATAGGCCACAAAAAGCTTTTTAATGTGAAGTCCTGTGTATTTCATACACACTTTCAAGGACACAAACTATTATCGATCGAAGACTATTTGCTTCATTCGGTTTAGCAAACAACTATCGAGTTGAGGAGTCTTCATGCCATTCGATTTCAGGTTACTATATCTAATCCACGTGTTCTTCCTAAATAGTGATTAACAGAGTCTTTACTATAAAAATTTATAATTTATTTAAAATAATTGATTAATATAGTTTTTTACTATAAAATTTTAATTATTTTTGTAACCGAGATTTCCACATGCTATATTGTAATGTTTCATTAAAAACTCAAAAACATTAAGTTTTTTCCTTTTTTTTACTTCTATTTATTTCATTTATTTCTTTCGTTAAATTGAATTCGGGAACAAAATGCAAAACGGTCGAATTATTTAAAATTATAATATATAGTGATATACTCCCCTTGATGAATATCCCAAAATTCAGTTACATTTAGCAAAAGTAAATGCAAAGACTTTTGTATGTGATGATGTAATGACATCTAACTCGAACTTAACAAATATTTGACTAAAACAATTCTAAAAATATGCATTTACATCAAATTTAATGGTAAATAAATAAATGGCAAGGTCCGTAAATAGGCTCACAACAACCTACGCTCGGTCACGTGCCAACTATTGAACACCCGGTGCGACTACCATGTGGACCACACTGATACCGTTTTGAATCAACGCGAAGTTACACAGTACACAACGGAAAGGGCATTATCGTCATTAGACATAAATACGCAGCACAGATATAGAGGAAACATGGAGAGAGAAAGGGCAGAGATAGATACAGCTCGGTCTGTCTCTATTTGTGTATGTGAACTTCACCCTCCGCCGGTGCTCTGTGTGTGACGGCGATCGGAACATCCGGTGATCCGTCGAAGCCAGAATCTTTTCAACTCAAAACGCTACCATAGCATTCTCGGTTGATTGTGGTTCAGTTCTCTTCCTTTATCTTATTGATTATCGATCAGAGCTTATTTTATTCTTTTTTGACGTTTTGATTCTATTCGTATTCACCGTTACTCTCTTTGTCGACTTGAAACCCTAATTTATTCCAAAACAAGTGAGAAAATTTTGGAGTTTGCTTATTTTGATCCGAACAAACCCTAATTTTTTTATGGCCGCTACAAATTTTCAATCTGATGATAGCGGCGGCGGCGTTATAAAAAACCCTAGGTCTCCGGGACATTCACAGACGGTTTCATCTCCGTGGAGTACGATTGTGCAGGGTTCGCCGGTCATGGTACCGGATGCTGTTTCCGCGGCGCCGGTTTCTGTTGCTCCAGCACCGACGTTTTCATCTTCTGTTGAGGAGAAAATAGGTAACTTTACCTCGGATTGGTGTCCGCCTTCAATGGTGCCGGATGTAGTAAGCTCTCCGGATGATTCCGGCACTGATGGTCAGGGTTCTGACAGCGGCGGTGTTGCATCTAAGAAACCGGTATGGAATAAACCGAACGGTGTTGTTGAGGCTGTGAGCCCTGTAATGGGTGCAGTTTCTTGGCCTGCTCTCGGAGAATCCACTAAGGCTTCCCCAAAATCCTCTTCATCAGAATCCTTAAAAGCACTTGGAGATGCACCACTGCTGCCTACATTACAGGTAAGAATACGAATACCATTAATCTACAACTTTCAATCTATCACAGTTATTTATATATAAACGGGAACATAATGTTTATGACATCATAGGTGACAGGAAATTCATCTCCTTTATCACATAAACACACAAGTGCAAACAACGTGTATCCATCTTCAACTCCAAACCATGTAGCTCCTGCAAGACAGAGATCCATGAGGCGAGGTGGTGGGAGTTCCAATTCAAATCCATCAGCTAATGGTGTTCTTTCTCACACATCAGCAACAAACCATGATTTGGGAACAGAAAACCTCCATAACACATCTGGAAAACCTGGAACTCCTGCTTCAGACCCTTCTCCAAGAGACAAAACAACACACATCGAGTCACCAAGAGGAAACTTTGGGCCACAATCACACAATGGTAATGATCACCAACATCAAAGAAGCTCTTACAGAAGAAGCAATAGTGGACAACATCACAATTATGGTGGAAAGCGAGATCAAGATCGTGGAAATCATGAATGGAATCAACACAGTAGAAGCTTTAATGGAAGAGATAACCACATGCAGCCTCAGAGAGGTTACCCTAGGGGTTACATTCGACCCTCTGTACATTCTTCCACTCCATATATCTCTCCACAAATGTCTGTTCCAGTTCGCCCTTTTGGCAACAACATGATGTATCATGGTAGGAATATCTTCCACAGTTATTTATCATTCTACTTTGTCTGATTTCAAATTTGTGAATCTTTTTTTGCAGATATGTCTCCTGTGTTCTATGTACAAGGTCCACCACCTCCACCAGATGCCCTGAGAGCTATGCCTCTTGTTGCTCCAGTTCCACCTCCAATGTTCTTTGCTGTTCCAGATCCATCTTTGCATGCTAGAATAGTGACCCAAATTGATTACTATTTCAGGTAAGTCTTTTATAAATCTGTCATTTGAAAGTTTTTTTTTTCTTTATAAAAATAAATTTATTCTTAATTGTTGATTTGCAGCAATGAGAATTTAGTTAAAGATACTTATTTGAGGCAAAACATGGATGAACAAGGGTGGGTTCCTGTAAGCTTAATAGCTGGCTTCAAAAAGGTAACTATTTTGGAATATCATTTTTACTATAAAAGTACATGAATTTTTAAATAGAAAGATAACCATTTTTTCCATTATTACAGGTTTTGTATTTAACAGATAACATTCAGCTAATTCTAGATGCTATGAGAGCTTCAACCAAAGTGGAAGTCCAGGTGCGTATGACAAAAATTACAATTTTGCCCCTCTCCCACCTTTTACCTATCTATCCTACCAAAATTACAATTTTGTCCTTTTACCATTGTGTTAAAATCAACTTTTGTCCCATTAACACTGGTCCCACTTTTTAATCCAATATATGTTAAACACAGTACAATTTTTTAGTTATTCCGTTTTTACCCTTGTGCATGACAGGGAAACAAAATAAGAAGGCGAAATGATTGGATGAAATGGCTAATAAACACACCTGCCCACTACTCCAACTTATCAAGCCCTCGGGCAGTCGGGCAGTCGGGCAGTCAAGATCAATTAGCATCACAGCTTCATGGTGTTACACTGGATGATGGGGTTGACCATGTCGGTGGTCAACAAGCTGAGCAAGTTTGACTAGTCAACCGAGACTAAACTAAGAAGCAATGTTTTTGAGAAGAGAGGTGACGAATTCTGGATTTACTGGTAGATAGAGAAATTGGTGGTTTCGAGAAAAGGTAAAAACATGAAATACAAAAAAAATTGAAAAATTAAAAAAAGGAAAAAAAAATTGAAAAACGAAAAGCACAAAAAAAGTTGAAAGAAGAAAAAAAACTTAATAAAAAAGTAACATGGAGATTATATAGGATATTACGACTTTTTTGAATGCTAGTTTTGGTTTGTTGGATAGAATGGTTTTCTTATTTTTGGATTATATGTTTTAAAAAATTATATTTATCCCTTGTGTTTCTTGTTATATGTTATGTTATGTTATGCTCCTTGATGAAAACTTTTGGGTCTGATTTCTGACCTTTGAAGTTTCAATCTAGGAGCAGATTTTGTGTGCTTCGATTTGATCATGACATAATTTTGCCTATATTCATTCAGAAAGTAGATTGTTATAATCGTGGGAAAAATATTTTTGAAAGTAGTTAATGATGAAATATAAAACCAATATGTGGAAAAGGTGAAAGGTTACACGTTTCCTTTAGCTGTAGCAATTGTGCAGTACTAAGGTGATGTGGATAACTCGGTGGAGGGTTTTTTATACTGTTCAAGGTGGAAGATATTGTTTATATTAGTCAAGGTGGAAATGAATTTATGAATAATCAAACATCAAGAGACAAATGGTAATTTGGCCTTTAAATCTAATAGTGAATTTTATCTTGACAACATTCCTTTATGTATAGGAGCATTAGAATCTGGAAATTAGTGAAAAAGTTATGAGACAGTTTTTTAGAACTTTTAGGAGTTTAAGCTTTAGTATTTTAAAAATGCTTAAATTAAACAAAAAAAAGTTCGTTTGAAGTTTTTATTTTAAAACAAAACACTCTTAATCTAAAAAGTATTCAAAGTAGACATAATATACATGTTGAAACATTATATGGGTTGACAAGGCAATACTTGAACCTTATGAACATTTTGATTTACATCATGGCATGTTTATTTCGCCAAGCAAAGTTTCATACTGAACTGATCCATTGTGCAAACATGAGGCTATGTCGTATGTATTGTAGTCATCACATGCGTACCTCATAAGTGGTTATCCGCATTCGAGATCCAGTGGCCCACTACTAAGTTCGATGGGCATACCACACTCTTTAATTAAGATAAATGTATTTAACTTAAACAATCTAGATAAAACAATGATTTTTCTTTGACAATCTAGTTTATGTCATGTCGTTATTGTAGCATCGTGTTGAAGGCGTATACAGTTATCATAAGTAATGTTATGATTTAATTTTTACGTTTATCGAGGATGGCATCATGCCATAGGCATTGTGCTTATTAGTAGTCAGGGTGTGATTGAAGCAAACTCTTCTTTTTGGCTAGAGTTACGACTTGGAGTGCATGCAGGTGGTACCTCGTTGACTTAATGATGATGATCTGACTAGTTTGTTGATTGCTTCTCTATTAGCTTCCTTACGTCGGTCTCCCTGAGATTATTTAACGTGTTGACGAATGTCGGTTGTAGTGTGTATAAGAGTTGGAGGCAGATATTGCACGTTGAGATCGTCATAACAAAGTAAAGGAGAATAGTGTGGATGGCTTGTCAAAGGAAATCATAGGAGGGTTCTGGGTGGCTAGGTTGGATCAGATGCCAAACGAAAGATTACGAGGTGATTGAGTTGAATCTATAGGCTAGCGAGTACCGAAGTTGGGATCTTGAGCTTGAGAGTGTAGAGGAGGATCGACATTTCACATATGTGATGTCCTGGAAGTTTCAAATGGTTGGGCATGTAAGGAATCTTGCTAATGCAAAGAAGCGACTACTTGAGTTCTTGCCTCTGATGGATTTGAAGTGTTTGTTTAGTGTTAGCTTATCCTAGTTCCTTGATCTTGTTTCTGGAACTCATCCACTTGATCGTGTTCGGGTACCATGTATAAATTATAGACTTCGTTTGGATGACGTTGTTTGTTGCTTGAAGTATAACTTACCACTCACTGAGGTCACCATCAATTGCTTAATGGAGGGATGTAATGAACGTTGCCACAGATTGTTAGAAAGTAAAGGGATCAAAAAAACAATAAATATAGACTTGGATAGATTCAAGGATCGTGTTTAACAAACACTTTCCGAAATCTGTAATTAGTCCCTTTTGCTTGGGGTACACGAATTCAGAAGTGGGATAATTCAAGAATGAACCAATCTGAATTACATGCCTAATTCAGATTGTGAAATACAGAATATCTGTTAATGTGTTCTTGTGAGATAGAACAAATCTTAAAATCAGATTTTGAGAGTATATGGTTTGTAGCTTGTTTTCTGGAACATGAAGAATGTTCTTATACAACAGGGAAAAGTGGTTATAGTGGTTGCCTCCAGATTTGGCGCCAAAACTGGTAGTTAAGAGACAAAACTAACACTTGCATCATCAAGATGTCATCCGAAAAGTTTTGGCGGGAAATTGCATGGAGCCGATGTAAAATCCATTTAGGTTTCGCGATGCTGCCCCTTGGAACCGCTGACCGCTAGGGGCTCTGCCCTTAGACCCTGCCAAGGGGCTGCAGCCCCTTGGAACCCTGCACCCAGGGGCGCTGCCCCCGACCCCCGTATTCCGAGTTCACAAATTATCACACATATTGTGCACCCCACACCTCCAAGCTCGGTTAGTAAATAAAGCTCGGTCTATCTCATTATTAATAGTAATTACACCAAAATATGTTGATAACACTAAAATCACTAACATTCCTCCCCCATTTTAGTGTAATCCTTAATTAACTAAAAGCAAACACAAAATCAAACTTATGCATAAATGAAACTATGTTGAATATTGAATTTTCACATTAGTATAATATACATGTCAAATACTCGAGAAACAGGGTGTCTTAAGGATTAAACCCTTCAACTCATTTGAGTAACTGAAGATACTATACACATAAGTTAAACACAATATCTGATGTTTCATACTTGACACTATTACAACCATGTGTCATATCCATTCATGAGTGCATAAAAGCCTAGCCCAAGCTTTTTGAAGCGACATCACTTCACAATCACATAGGTAGTCATTCTATGTCATGCACCTATTAATGCATTTTTTCAAAAGAACTATTAAGAACTTAATCAACCTACTTTAACAATACAGGTTATAAGCACATACCTTGGAATGTAGTAAAAAAATGTACTTCAATCTCCATAAGCAAGGTTTCCACATTGAAAATTCAACTTCTAACATTGTATTAGAAGGGAATTGGGTATCTCACCCATAGAGATATCAGTTGGGCCTTAGTCCCATCCCTATAACCGACTTCTTTACCGGATCTCTAGCTAAGCCCTTCGTCAAGTGATCAGTTAAGTTTTGTTGAGATCTAACAAACTTAACAGAAATGATACCATGAGTAGTGAGCTCACGTACCATGTTGTGCCTAACACCCAAATGTCGCGACTTTCCATTATACACTTGACTGTATGCTTTCGCTAAGGTGGAAGCACTATTACAGTGTATAGAGATAGATGATATAGGCTTTAACCATAAAGGAATTTCATAGATCAAATTCCTTAACCATTCTGCTTCTTTTCCAGCAGCTGCAAGGGCTACAAGTTCAGATTCCATAGGTGAATTTGGGATGCATGTTTGTTTCTTAGAAGCCCATGAAATGACACCTCCACCAAGAGAAACACTAAACTACTTGTAGGAGAGTGGTCCTCAACATTAGTAATCCAACTAGCATCTGAATATCCTTCAATAACTGATGGAAACCCTACATAAGTCAAACCAAAATCCATGGTTTTCTTAAGATACTTCAACACCCTCCTTACTGCTTGCCAGTGGTGATTACGAGAATTGCTAGTAAATCTACTTATCTTTTCCTACAGCAAATGCAATATCAGGCCTTGTACTGGTCATAGCATACATTAAATACCCAATGACCTTTGAATACTCAAGTTGTGAAACTGCTTCACCAGTATTTGGCATAAGTTTTATACTTGGATCAAAAGATGTACTCACATGAGAACAATCTGAACAATTGAACTTCTTCAGCACTTTCTCAATGTAATGAGACTACGATATTGAGATTCCTTGATATTCACACTTGATTCTTATTCCAAGAATCATTTCTACCTCCCCCATATCCTTCATGGAGAACTGAGATGATAAAAAATCTTTAGTCATGTCAACTTGCCTTTGATCAGCACCAAAGATTAACATATTATCTACATACAAGCATATGATCACTCCTTTGCCAGACTCATCAAACTTGCTACATACACACTTTTCTGATTGATTCAACTTGAAACCATGAGACAAGACGACATCATCAAATTTTTGATGCCACTGTTTTCGTGCTTGTTTTATCCCATATAATGATTTAACCAACTTACACACCTTATGATCATTTCCAGTCATAATAAAACCCCCAGGTTGTTTCATATACATCTCTTCCTCTAAATCACCATTTAAGAATGTTGTTTTCACATCCGTTTGGTGAATCAACAAATTATGAATTGCTGCTAAGGCAATCAACAGTCTAATGGTGGATATATGAGCAACTGGAGCATAAGTGTCAAAATAGTCAATGCCAATTTTTTGTTTAAAAACTTGAATAACCAATCGAGCCTTAAACTTGTCAATTGATCCATAAATTTTCATCTTCCTTTTTAATATCCACTTGCAACCCAAAGGTTTTCATCAAGGAGGAAGATCAGAGAACACCCAAGTATTATTCCCCATGATGGAATGCATCTCATCATTTATTGCTTCTTTCCAGAAAGAAACATCTTGAGATTTCATTGCTTCATCAAATGTTTTAGGATCCTCTTTAACACTAAGACAACATGAATATTGATTTGTAATTTCATCTCTAGAACTCTCAACTAGGTAAAGCTGAAAATCATTACCAAATGATTTAGCTTTCCTTTGTCTTTTGGTTCTTCTAAGCTCAAGTGATTCATTTGAATCAGGTACAACTTCCTTGGTAGTTTCATTGGAATGAGGAACCAAGTCTTTTGGTCTAGTTATGGATGAAAAATGATTTTCATCAGATATTGCATCTCTAGATTCTATAACAGTGTTATCTGATACAGAAGAATTAGGTTCTATAACATAAAACCTATATGCCTTAGAATGCTTAGCATATCCAATAAAGATACAATCAATACCTCTTTCACCCAAAGTCTTTATTTTTGGTTCAATCAGCCTCACAACAGCCCGACAACCCCAAACTTTAAGATATCCTAAGTTTGGTTTCTTTTTTGTACCAAAGTTCATAGGGAGTTACCTTGTTCCTTTTGTTTGAAACTCTATTTAAAAGATAACATGCAATAAGCATAACTTCTCCCCAAAAACCATCACTCAAACCTGAGTAAGATAACATAGAATTCACCATTTCCTTTAGAACTCTATTTTTCCTTTTAGAAATCCCATTTTGTTGAGGAGTATATGGAGCAGTTATTTCATGTATAATACCAACATAGTGGAAATAACTAGGATCATAATACTCTCCACCACGATCAGTGCGAAGTCTTTTGATTGGATCATTTTGTTGCAATTCAACTTCATTTTTATAAATTTTAAATTTATCAAGGGCTTATCCTTGAAATGTAACAAATATACATAGAAAAAAATAAGAATAATCATATATAAAAGTAACTAAGTATTTCTTATTTCCTAAGGATGGAGTTGAATGCAAATCACATAGATCACTATGAATCAATTCGAGCATAACAAAATTCCTTTTAACATTAGGAA